CGTTTTCAGGAAAGTAGAAAATCGCTGCTGAATTCGTATATACACAAACTGAAAACCTTTTTTTATTTTTCTAACTTATTTTCAAGTTCACAGTGCGAGTGTTAATCTGTCAGTTTGAACAGAGCACGATGCTCTCTGCTGTTATTCATTTCATTAAACACTACGTTTGAAAACAAGTTCAATGGGCAAACGTAAATGTATTTCTTTTAGATTATTTCTAAAGTGAAAAGAATCAAGATCGTGTTTGTTCTTCTGCTTGGCATGGTCGAATTGAAGAAACGAATGTGACAACGAGACTAATCATCCGTCGAACAGTCGATATAATCACACTCGGCGAGAACCGAACTTTTGAAACGCAAGTGCTTTTTCCATTCACTCAGACTTCAGTACCCTGGGGTACTTTTTCGATACTTGAGTACTCAACTTTAAGATACTGCTGGGTGCTCAGCAGGCTAACTTGCCGAAAACTTTTAGTGCAGGGTATTAGGAACTGTACAAGTATCCGAGTGGGTACCTTAGCAGTACTCATGTACTGAGAATGTTCAGCAGGGTACCTTACCAAGTACCTGTGACATACTGGTAGCAGGGTACTTTTTCGAATAACCTGCTGAAATCTGTCTCAGTACACGAGTACCCTGAACTTAGTACATTCACTAGATAAGTGAAATTTATCCGATGACTCTCGAACCAATTTCCACTGTTCGAAGAGTTTTATCTCTTACAACAGTCGAAAATAGTGTGAAAAAATCTTCTGTACAAATGGTTGTAGGGATCGACTCACGTGGTCCTTTTGCTTTCTGAGCGTAGATGAGTCGATTCCAATCGATTTGACTGGTTTCTATAACGATCATTTTGCTGTTGTCTGATTGAGTTAGTTGTTCGAGCGATTGCTGTAGTTGATTCATCCGTTTTTGAAGATATTTGAGATCGTCTTCGGCAAAGTCGTCTTCTTCTAGACGACGACGAATTTCCTTTGTCAAAGCTTCAGACTGTTCTTTCAACATGTCTCTTTCAGAAATAATCAGTTGAGTGAGTTGGTGACGAACGTTTTCAGCTGCATTGTGTACTTTGTCAATTGTTGCAGTTTCCCATCGATCAATTTGAGAGAAAAGCTGAGGGAAGGAATTCTTAGTTTGCTTTGCTTGATCGATTTGTTCGAGAAGTTCATCATGAGTTCTCACAACATCACGATCGAACTGTATCGACAGTTGTTGACGATGCTTGTTAAAATGTTTGATACAGAAGAACTTTTTGCATCCAGTACAGTTGCACTTCGCTTCGTTCTTTTCGCACACCGAACATCGATTCGACGCTAATCCTGTTGCCATTACTGTAAATGAGAAGACGAGCGATATTGTCTAATGAAATCTTAAACGACTGCAGTATGACATCAACTTACTTTATACGAGGGTGATCAGTGAGAATATGTTAACCGAAGAATTGATTCGATACAGAGTAACATCAACAGAGCCTCCTTTGCGTCAATGGCCTTTGTGTTCGCAGCGAGAATTGTTCTGCAACTTCAACGTGTTCTTATATCTGCTTATCAATGACAAAGAAAAGAACGGAATGAAGTATGTTGGCGATAAAAGTAAGAACGAAAGATTCAGTAACAGTACACAAGAAGATGATGTGTTTGGTGTTGGAAATCGAACGCTGGATCGAAAATAGTATTTATTCGTCGTTTTTACTTGATTTAGTTAAGTTTATCGGATTTTGTTCAATCATCTCCATTTCGACTTTTCACTTTGAAACTACCAATAATTTTATTCCCATTACAGGAAGAACTACCGTTTTATATCAAATGTATAAGTGTTACGCGTACCATATTACTTTAAGGTTCAATTCTCTAAACGTAAATTTTGCTGAAAAAGATATATTTTTTTGCGCACACAGTACCTTTGAGGTATGTGACGAACAACATAACCATCAAGCCATGCTACTCTCTAAAAAAAAAAGGCTCCATACCAAACCATTAAGGTTTCGTGTGTTTTTTCGAAACTTTTACTGGTTTTGTAGTGAAATTTCGAAATTCGAAGGGTTTGTTGGACGGTACAAAACCTCAAAACAAAATTTTTTTTCTGCAAGATTTTGTACAGAATATACGAAACCGGCGAAGTGGTTTCGTGGCACTGAAGGATTCGTAGAAATTTCACAAAACCTTACGGGTTTCATATTTCATTAAACACATCTTGGATGAAATAAGAATATGTGGAAAAAACCAATAAACAGCTTATAGCAGATATCTGTTAATCGTGAGATAGTTATCGAAAAGACTTTGTCTATTTGAAACACGCGATTTATGGAAATACCATTAGATAGAGCTATTCTTTCTCGGCTGTAATTGGCTGAATACAGAAACCAATAAATGACAGAACGTTAAAGATGACTATTTTATTCCTTTGCTTTTCGCATGAACTTTAGCCTACTTCATCGGGAAAAGTCGTATCTAGTTTCTTCCCATACCATTCCTTCCTCGGTTAGTTAAACCAAGTTTAGAAATGACACCGTTCACACGATCTAAAAAAGTTCATTGGCGATTAAGGATTGGGGAATACCGTCGTTAGGAAAGCCATGTGTCTTTTTTGCACAGCTGAATGCACTTGCTTTATTATGTTAATACTTCAAATTTTATTATTTACTGATATCTCATAATTTACTCGTCACATGTGATTAAAAATTTCGTATGCTAGGCTATTTGATGTCCGATTGGCTGGCTGTATCAACTGAGCGTATGGAGTTATAGATATTCGGTTAAATAGCCAAGCCGGCAAGTTCCCAAACTGAGTTGTTACATTAGTGTAGCAAAAAAAGAAATATAGTTGCTTTTTTTTAATTTGCAACTGATTGCACAACCGAGCACAATGACTCAAAGTGTATAAGGAAGTATGACCTATTCTTCCACCGGCTAATCACTATCACTCTCTTCCAACTATAATTCATCTTTCTCTCATTGTGTGTCGTATTCATTCACTCTCTCTTTGTATATGTTCAGTATCTCTCTCTCTTCCATTCTTAATATTTCTATCACTCACCTTTTGTCTTCTGCAATAGATGTACTCATTGTACAGCACGTACTTTCAGTCTATTTACGAATAAACAATGAATATAGATATTTCTACTTCAGTCGAGCCTAAATTTAGAAATTAAACTGTACGAACTTAAATATATATCACGTCGAAGATGAAACTTTACAAAACGATTCTTGGATGAATGTTATGCCGCAGTTATCGAGATACAACGAAGCAGACTTAGATTCAGTTCAACTAAATATGCATCCTATTAACTATTACTTGAATGAGACGTAAGAGCCAATAATTGAATAACATCTAATCTCCCATTATTGTAACAAATGTTTAACACGAGATGGTACTATGTTTCGCATATCACGATCATTTCTCTTGCAGAGACTTCGCTGGATTTTCGAAACATTGATGTATATCTAAAACAGAAAACAAAAGTGAGACAATAAATCCACGCTATCTTTATTATTAGTATTTATTACTTACTGATTAAATTCATTCATAATAGAATCGCTTCCCTTTTACTTTTGATTAATAATGAACTATCTTATATTGTTTTATCCAGTTACTTACTTCATCAAGAACAATCTGTGGTGTAATAACAATTGAAACACCAGTGGAAAATAATAATGAATAAACGAAGTGAATAACTGTTACAAATATCGTAATTAAAATTTTGTTTACAAAATCTAATTTATTTATTTGATTCGAGCTTTCGATGATTATCCTATCATCATGATCAACAATTGACTTTTTATATTGGAAAAACAATTATATTTTATACATTTGTTTGTGTGAGAGAAAGTTAAAACGAGAAAAAGGGAAAACAGAAGATTGATTTTTAAAATTTTCTTCTATTGGAATATAGGTATAACTACCAAACATAATGAATAAGTAAAGCAATGTGTTTGTCTCCTAGTACATTTTTATTAATTATTCAATTATCTTCATTACATATGAAAAACAAAACCATCGTTAACGTATTGCAAACAAAGCACGAAGAGAAGAACACGAACATTTGAGTTTCTATAAATTGTGAGTATCAATAAAGATATGTGAAAGAGCAAAAAAAATTGCAGAATAACATTTATGTCCATTACGCACAAAACACAAGAGAAAAAAGAAAAGGAAAAGGACTCATTATTCATTTATTAAACTAAATTTTTGTTCTCATCTTTCGAGAAGACAAAGTAGCACTGCTCGTTGTTAACAAAAACAAAGAGATCGATGACTGTTCAGTAACAAACAAGAAAAAAAATGTTTAGATTGAAACACTCTTCCAGAATAGAAGATCATTCATAAATAGAAGACTAGTCTGGACGGTTATTATTTTAAAAAATATTGAAGAATCTACCTTCTTTCTTTTGTAAAAAATTGAATTAATTTATCGAACAAAATAGAAAAACTAGCTGTTCATCTGTTCTGAATTGGATCTAACTAGAGATAGTACAGTTCGTACAGTTTTTATTTTTGAAAAAAAAAAACTGTATCAGAGAAAGAAAAAGAGTGAAATGCAACGAGAAAATTGTTCACAAGAACAGATAAACAACATAAAGGTACAAAAAGCTGTTTTTATTTTCACTATTAAACAAAGTAGAAATAAAAGAATGAATATTATTTAAATCTAACATTATTTTTTTTTTTATTTTAAGCAATTTGTTCTAATATATTATTAAGAATATAAAAGATTATTTAAATAGAATAGGAGGGAGTAAGAAAGAAACAAAAGATTTTTTTATAAGAAAAAATACAGAATACACACGCATACACATATACATACAAATTTAAAAAAGAAATCGCATACTACAGCGGATTAAAATAATAAGACAGTAAGCTATCAGCATTGTAATCTAAACTATAACTGAGCGAAAAATAATAATAAAGGTAACATTTTGTTTTCATTCTTCTTGTGGGTCAGTATATGTATATATATATTATATAACTATTTTGAGCAAAATATACAGTAGAATTATTAAATTATGTCTCTCTATAATTGGGTTCAGCTTGAATTTCATAATCGTCAAAACGATTATACAAATTTTCAAATGTAGGACGATTGTCCGGGTTTTCTTGCCAACAACTGGACATAATACAATAATATGAATCAGGACAGTCTGGTGGTTGTGGCATACGATAACCATTCAAAACAGCTTGTAACGCTTTGTTATTGTTCATATCTTAAAAACGAAAGAAAAGAACGTCATTTTTATTTTTCTAAATGTCACAATAGAAAAGATTCGCTTTATACGAATTAGAAGGCTCAGAATTGAACTGTAAAGAGTAAAAATAACCTCTAACTATATGATTTTTTTAAAATTTTATTTACCTGGATAAGGATTTGAACCTCTTGTTATTAATTCGTAGAGTAAAATTCCGTAGGACCATACATCACTTTTAGTTGTGTATTCTTTTTTTGTTGCTGCTTCGGGTGCCATCCATTTTATTGGAAATTGTGATTCTTAATGAAACAAACGAGAATATTTTCTATCAGGTTACATACGGCTAAACAATGCAAACAAACCACGATCAACAAGTAAACGCCCATCTTGTACAACTCTGGCCAAGCCGAAATCAGCAATTTTGACAGTATTTTGTTCGCCAACCAAAATATTACGTGCTATTTTTAATTAAAACAATGAAAAATAAAGACGTGTGCTGAGGTTTGGAAACTATTGAACAAACCTGCTAGATCACAATGAACAAATTGTCGTTGTTCAAGGTACCACATTCCTTTAGCAATCTACAAACACAAGACCATAAACTAATTTCAGTCACTGAAAACATTAAATAAATTTTCATACTGGTATAGCGAAATCAACAAGGTTACTCGATTTTAAAGTTTTTCCATGTTTACGTAAATAATTTAACAAGCAACCGTTTGTCATATATTCTGTAACGATAAAAATCGGTTCTTCTTTTGTGCATACACCATACAATCGTACGATATTTTTATCATTTAAATCTTTCATAATTTTAGCTTCATCAAGGAATTTCTTAACATTTGATGAACGATTTTTTATATCAGTTTTCATATATTTAATTGCCACATTACGAGTACCATATTTTCCATGATAAACTTCACCATAATTACCTTTACCTAATAATTCGACTTTCTCTAGTTGTTTACGATCAAGTTCTAACAAATCGTGACGATCAATATCGGCTAATGCGGGCTTTATTTTAGGACAAGCTCGGCTTAATAAGCAACATAAGCGATCTTGTTTAGCTAAATGAGAAATATAAAATAAAAGTAATTAATTAATTTATAGATTTATCTTCAAACTTACTTTGATAATATTTAACTAGTTCATGTAATGTTGGAAATAAAATTTTGCTATTTATATAATATAAGCTTGAATCAACACAACGTATACGATAATGTTTAACATGAAAATGTTTGTCGGAACTTAGATCAAGTACAGATAATGATTCTTGTCCTAGGAAAAAAATGAGAATAATTGTTACAATTCTTTTTATTAATTTTTATTTACTCTTACCTTGATTCGAATCTGATGGTCGAATTAAAAATGTTCCTTTGCCATTATGTGGTTGTTCTAGAAAACGTTCAGCATCTCGACGATTTGTATCAGTAAAATACCACCTAAATAAATAGGGTTTATTATCGCGATGCTTTATTGTCGAAGAAACAAAAGTAACTAATAGAACCTCTGATTTTATTAGCGTGTTTATCTTACTCCATCGATGTTAAATCATTTATTGGCGATATATAGTTAGCAGGTACATAACCAGATTGTCCGGTTCTCAAATTTTTTGCAAACCACCATTCATTATATCTAGAATTAATATAATTTTTACAAAAAAAATGGAAACTAGATTCAAATCTAAATAAATGCATACGTATGTCGATCGCTTATTTCCAGTTTATCTTGTTGTCGAAAGCTAAGTTCTCCATTCGTTTGTGCATCATTAAAATCATAATTGGCAATATAAAGTTGTCCTAGAACACGAAAATAAACACGTTAGGATATTAAAGTAATTGATATAAGCTTTATTCTGTCAGAATACAAGCGGAAAAATATTCTATTATAGTATTCTAAACTAATACTATAGAAAAACACAGAATCAAAAATTTGTAAAAACAGAAGAGAAATGGGAAGAAATTTGGACTATGTATGGTTCAAGACCTGACTTCAATAGTCTACACTTAATGTTGGTCAATTTGAATCAGGAACAAAGAGATAATAAGCCAGATTGGTTAAATAATGAACATCTTGAAGTTGTTACTAGATACTTTCATAGATCATTAGAAAATACTCTTTCGTACAATGATGAACTAGCTCAATTTGTGCATTGTAATCAGACTGAGGGAAGGAAAGATAGTACAACAATAAATACAGTAAATGAGGCATCGCCGTCATTATCAATTTTGACAGCAAATATGACAACGAATATTGGTTATGTACAAAAAAAGTCTATAAGTTGCCAAGCAGAAGCGATAATAGAGGAGGAAAAAAATATGAACAACCAGAGAAGAAATTCATCCTCACAATCTAGAATAGTACAACAACAAATGATATTCTAGTTTGGGATGGAGTAGGATGTCAGAGAGATATGAGCCTAGATATGTCTAATGAAACGTAGGATAAGTTAGCCTGATATTCTAATAATTTTAGGAAACATTCTCACACAAACGTGTGTCAGAAAAGTTATTGCGTGTGTCACAGAGAACTCGAGTTCCACATGACACACTACTTTTCCTTGCTGACACACGTTCAAGGGAGAATATTTGATGACAATGATAATTTTTTTGTTTTTTAGTGTAGTCTTCAATGTGGGTTAAGCAGGGAAACAATACTATTGTACTTTGCTGTGAAAGAATAGATCG